AGTATTTCTACTTATAATGACTGCATACACCATGTAGCTCAACGCTATTTTTTTGGCATAGTATCATAAATATCTATTTTAATTCTTGTCTCTATATGTGTATCTAGGGCTTGGTGCTTTTTTCCCTTTTTCTTGTGAAAATACCTCTAGATGCAGGACAATATCCTGCTCCCTTTACTTAGGAGAATACTCCTCTCGAGTTCAACAGGAGGATTATTCTCCTTGGGTAGAAACCCCTCTGCCAGAAGGCCCGTACATCACTTAAGTACTGGCTTAAGCAGAGAATAAATGTCCATCTGTGCAGGGTAGAATTTCATCTGTTGTCAGGGAAGTTAGATCTGACCCATGGACTTAAGGAATCCCAGATTTACTCACTATTCCTAAAATCACATCGCTTTCACTCTCTGGTCTTTATCACTCAGGACTCAAGAGTTTACGTATCACATTTTCTTTATACGTTTGCTATGTCTTAGAAATAAAAGTGATTCAACATGTAATTCATGCTTCAGAGGTAAATTCCATCTTTTCCTACTTTCTCTGTGTACTGTGAGTATAGAAAGCTGAGCTTTGGGCCTTTCCTTTGTATCAAGAACACCCCAGAATTTGTTACTGGAATTGCAGCCTGATGCATGGGGAAATGTTGCGTTTTGGTTACAGCGAAGCCCTTTCTTTTGCCAGTAATATTGTAGGAGATGGCAGGTCAATTATGTGCAAAACGAAATGATGCAGAAATTGAAATATTTGAATAATTTTCTTTGATGATTTCAGCCAAATCAGAGTGTCACTTCTAGGAAACATCATGATTTCACAGAATTAGCTTTTTCCACTGGAAAAACTGGAACCTGCATTATTTAAGTTAAAAAGCCTGCTTTTCCAGACTCCACGTGGGCAAAGTTCCTGGGGACTTAGGGGGACTTGTCAAGTGGAGAAAGCAGTGTCCCCGGCAGCAGGACTCTTCCTAGTTTAGCTCTTACTTGAACAGGTTCACTTTAAATTTTTGAAATTTTGTTTGATTTACACCATCTTCTGTGTGTTAAATTAGAACAGCACAGTGCAGTACTTCAGCTCTGATCTTAAATTGTTTCTGCCGAGCAAGCATGTACACCTAAGTGTCTTTTTTGTATCCCTCTGAGCTCTTCAGTACATTTATGGGAGTTTATACTGTCGTATCGTTTGTTTCTCGCCTAACAGTTTCCTCTTGGTTGTCAAGAGGCTTAATTGCTTTGAGGTCTTGTATTAAAAACTTTGTAGATGTTGCCACTATTTTCTATCTTTCTTGTAAGTAGAGCTGTGGTGGAGGGAAGGTCTGTATGGTTAGAGAGGGGCTGGTCAACTGTACGTCTTGTTGACTTCTGGTGGGACTTGATGGATATATCCAACATCTCTGAAAATGCCAATTGTACATTCTTGAGTGTTTGCAAAACAGTAGAAACTGAAAAAAAAATCTCTCAGAAGCCTTGCAAGCATGCAACAACTCTTTCTTGTTGAAAAATTGACTTTTGTTAATTTTATTGTGTATATTTTAAGTGTCAGTGATAACAAACTCACACTAATAGGGTAAAATGCAAAAGCTGAAATATTACAGTCTCAGGAAAACTCTCTTGCGTGATTACTGTTAAAAGTTTATAGGAAAGTGAGGTGTGACAGTTGTTAATTTTGAGATGGAAGAGGATGATGTGGGTTACTGGGTTTGTGATTGAATTTGGTGCAATTTAACTTGATTCTACTGGTCGTCTTCTGAGTGGGATAGTGGCCGATAGATTCAGTGTGTGCTACTGCTAAGTCATTTCCACTTATTAAGTACTTAGAAAAATCCTTTTTGTTGCCATCAGGGGGAGCTTTTGAGATCTTTCAAGAGTGAAAAAAATATTAAAAAAAAAAAAAAAAAAAAAAAAGAAAGGAGGAAAAAAAAGAAACGTCCCAGCTCAGAAACAGAGATCTACAAACCAGCAAGCAGCCAGAATCTTACCTGTGGCTACAACTAAGCCAAGGAAACCAGGGGAGCTGAATTCCTTAGACTGAAAAATTAACAATATTGAGAGAGGATTTTTTTACTCAACCCACCAATAAATTTTTTTTTTTTAATTATTATTTCAAAAAAACCCAGGAGTCTTTGGAGCATTCAAAAACCAAATCCTGCTCTGTTGCTACAGCTTCTGGAAGGCAAATGCTCTTCAAAAAGCTTCTTTCCTTTTAGCTCCTGATGATTCGATGGGGACCTTTGATGCAACATTTGGATTAGCTGCACACAACTGCACTGAGGGGGACCACAAAAGGGGGAGCCTGGCTGATTGCATAACTTTATGAAAATAATAAGAGGAAAAGAAAGAATTAGAAAAAGAGAGAGAGAGAGAGAGAAAGAAAGAAAGCAATTAAAAAAAATATCTGAGACTCAAGTTTCAAGACTCTTTATGTGCTGCAGAGGAGCATAAGGTTTACCAGCAAAGTGCAACGGGGAGTCTGAGAGGAGAAATAGCTTTCTCTTTTGCCAAGAAAAAAAAATAGGAATGTGTGTTTTGGACTGGACTGAGAAAGAAAGCTGGGGAGATTGCAAAAAAGGGGGTGCAGGATTTTTGTCACGTTGATCCATTCATCTTGATTGTCTTCTTTAAAAAATAAATAAGAGGAGGGAAAGTGATAGGGGGAAAGAGGAAGAGAGAAAAAGAAGAGGGGAAAAAGAAAAACAGCAAAAGTGTTTGAACCTCTGGAGCTATCTGCTCCTTCAAGCTGATTGATTAGTCATGATCCCTGCAGTTTTAATGGGAATCATTCAATTGGGAAGGTGGAGCACCCTAGAGTAGATTAGCATATTCTTGTTTACTCATCTTCTGAGGGGCTTTTTCTCTTTGGGGAGAAGAGGGGGGGGGGGGAGGTGGGGGGGAAGGAGGGGGTTGTGGCTTATGTTATAAAGGAGGCCAAAAAAATAAATAGATTAGAGCATCTTTTGGGGGGAGGGAAACCAGTGGGTCTGAGTCTTGGAGAAAGCTGGGGGGGTTGTTTTGTTTTTTTTGTTTTGTGTGTGTGTGAGAGTGTGTGTGTGTTTTTTTTAAGAAGAAAAAAATAAAGGGAAGAAAATCCAGCAGAGAAAAGAAGAGAGAGAGGAATTCCAGCTGTGGAGGAATAGAGGAGAAGAAGACAGATAGAGGAGGAAGAACAGAGAAATACATTTCAACCAAGAAGGAGTTTTGATTTATTTTATTTCTATTTGTTTTAAGGAAAAAAAAAATCTATAAGCAGGAAAAAGAAAGAAAGAAAAAGAAAAAAAGAAAAGAAAAAGCAACTGAGAAGGGTTATAAAAAGAGCAAATACCAAGAAGGGTGAACAAGAGAAGAAAGTCAAGGCAAGGAGGAGCCCAAAGCTGGCAGATCGGGAGGATTTGCAGGGGAGAAGGGGGGGGAAGATTGGAAATGCAGCTCTGGAGTTTGCTGCTGCCTCTTGCGCTTCTCTGTACAGCCCTGGCCAGTGGACCCGAATGTGGGATGGACGAGCGCTCCCGCAGGGCAAGAAGGGACACCCGGCACAGCCGCCAGCTCCTCCACACCGCCCCGGGCACCTGTGCCACCAGGTTAGCCCGAGGAAGGCGCTCCACTGCGGGGCTGGAGCCGGGGCATGGCCCCCGCAGGAGGCAACAGCGGGAGGTAAAGGACGAAGAGGAGTCCCTTACCCCGAGCAGGGCGCTCTATTTCAGTGGACAAGGTGATCAGCTGCGGCTGAAGGCAGACGTTGAGCTGCCCCGAGATGCCTTCACTTTGCAAGTGTGGCTGAAAGCTGAAGGAGGACAGAGATCTCCGGCTGTCATTGCAGGTAGGTAGTTCGTCATGCCCGTGGCTGCAGCATCCCTTTTACGTTTCGGGAGCCGGCGGAACAGCCAGCTGTAGGCGTGCGTGTGTGTAGTGTATGTGTGTGGACGTTGAAACGGGCGAGTGTGCCTCGCAACACACGTACGTGTGTGAGTGCTTGTGGGAACACGCTCGGGTGCCTTTATAGGTGTATTTTTGATGAAATACCGGAGCTCAGCAAACTGTCTGAAAGTGTGTGCTTGCAGAAAAAGTTATGTAAACTTTTGCATAGGGAAATGGCAGTATCCCGGGTACTTTCTTTATTTCTGTGTGTACGGATTAAAGTGCGGATCGGAGAGAGCGCTCTTAGGGTGGGTTTTTACCTGCTTCTCAGGTCAGAAAATTGTAAATAGAGCATTTAAAGTAGCTTGTAAGTGTGTATGAAAAGAAA